TATGAACTATGTAAGACATATGGGCAAAGACAAGACATGCTAGTCAGCCTGTCGCTGCAATTTATACCCTTGAGCATTTTGTTTCTTTATCCCTGAAGTGTGGATATAATACCTGTTCACTGAGCAGCCGTGAGGATATGTGAGCTGATTTATGAGAGATGTAGAGTATAGTGCTTGGCACACAGCTAAAACTCAGTAAGTGACAGCTTATAGATGTCATCATTATTGGTGAAGAAATAAGATGAATTATACTAGTACATGTATTTATGCAAACCAAGGAAAGAAAAACATATTAATGATTTTAAAACAACCTTTGGGGAAATGACAGACTTCAAGATAATTTAAAACCCGCAGAGATAACCTAACGTATTCAAATGCCACCATTTTATGGTACACCTCCAAACTACATCTATTAACGTCCTTAAAATTGGTAAATAAGACCTTGTGATTAGGTGCTTAAATAAAGTGATTATTGCAGGCTGGTTATATAGCCTGTCCTGCAACTGTGACGGCTGACATTAATTACATTTTTATGTGTAGCATATGAACTGCACATTTTCTGGCTGCAGAACCAAACCAGATGCAGAGCACTCTGTTTCAGCATGAGTAATGGAAAGAAGGAAGCAAAAGCTCATGACTGCAGAAGGCAGGGCTGAGAACAGGGCAAGAGGCACATCAGCCCTCGTTCTTTGGGAAACAAGTAAGGGTCAAGAATGAAACAAGCCCTTGTGTACCAGGAGCCTCCAAATTTCTGAACTTCTCTTAAAATAGCTAAGCAGAACTTAAAAGGGTAAAAACAGAGCACTCTCCTGTCCGAGTTTACATTGTCTAAATCTAGTAGAAGGTCTAGAATTAAATTACTCTTGTCATTGAGTGAATGAAGAAATCAATTAGGCCTCAAAGGAAAGGCTCTCCATGTGAAATGGCTATGGGGGATTTAAGAGGCATGGAATCTCCGCCAGCTTGTGCATTCACTTGGATAATCCCTGATTTCCCACTAAATGTTTAAAGGCGAGGACAAAAATTTTCACTTAGCCCCAAGCAATGCTGTTATGAGGACACTTATCACTGTTTGCTTACAAATATTGTTTGGAACTTCATAGTAAGTGGTAAATAAAACTGATTCTCTGGACGTGTTTTTCAAATCATTCTGAAAACTCTATACTCTCCTTAGAATGAAGATAAATTTGGTATAACATCTGTTATAATCTCACATTACATAATTATTATAGGTATATAGAATAGTGCTTATAATATAGATAATAAAGACATTAAAGTTACCAGGACTTATTAAGTCCAGACACTAGGCTAAGTGGCTTTCCATATGTAACTCATGAATCCTCTAAACGACTACATCTACTTTATAGCTGCAGAAACTGAGGCTTACTTATTTACAAATATTCTCAAGTCCACGCAGCTCCCAACAGTGGCAAAGCCAAGATTCATACCCAGAATATCTGATTTCAGAGCCTAAAAGCTGAATCACTGTTATTCTGACCAATAGGCTTCATTTAGAGTTTTAAAGGCATAAATGTAAAATAATCAGTATTTGAGTGGTTGAATATTGTTGTTTTTAAAGTGCTTCACTTTTATTTTTTTAACCTGTTGAAAACTGTCAAGTTTAGGCAACTATTAACTGGTTCTTACATAATTAAGATTTATGTCTTGAAGCTGTTCCCTATAATGCTGCATGGAATTGGGTATTTCTTCTACAAGTGTTTTCTTGATTATTATATCAACTGGGACACCAAAAAATTCCTGAAATGACCTGCTTTAAACTCCTTATCAGACAGAATAATTTAAGTAACAGGATTTTCTGTGATTGAGTAAATTGTGTAAGATGCGGCTGTTTAAGAGGCCAAAACTATCAGGCACACAACATTTATTTGGATCTCCATACAGACATGGGGATATTATTGAAATATGAGGAAGTCTCAAAATCTCCCAAGGAAAACAAGCTCACTAATGACTCCACAGCAGTTCTAAAGGCTGCTTCAGATTCACGCTAATGATTTCTTTCCATTTTGATAGAAACAGGCTTCTGACCTAGAACCATAACAATAGAAGAGCTAGAGAAGAGGAAGATCGGTGATTAAAACCCATTTATGCCCAGTGTTCTACTACTGCAATGCTAAGCATGTGGGAGTAATTCATCTTACTGGTCAAGATCATCGCCAAGTTCTAATTACAAAAATCCAAAAAATTATGACCTTGGGCATGAATGGGTTAAAAAAAAGGCAGAAAAGCCTAGTTTTGCTTTCTAATCTAAAGGGACCTGGAATACTTCAGACTTGGCAGATACAGATGCTGGCTTCCAATTCTTTCAGATGACAAATGTGTCCTAGGGGTTGATCTTGCCTCTGTAAGCTCTGACCTCTTCCTTGTGCCCTCTGCCTCTCTTGTTCTTTATTCTTCCAGCAATAACAAAGATGGAAAGGTGAGGTGTGGAGTCTGCTGTGTTCGCTGGAGGAAGGCAGAATTTCACACCTGTAATTGTAATGATTTGTTACCCTTCCAGGTGGTCAGCGATGATTAGGAATGAGAAAGCTATTCAGAAAGCATGGAGCATTCCCCACTACTAAACGCCAAAGTAACCAGAATCCACTATAAATAGGCAGCTTCCAAGGATGTAATTCTTTGAGAACCAGAAAATCTGGATAAGAAGAGAACTCCTAGGTAGTAAGCAGGCAGGAATGTCTGTTTTTGTCTCTGTCTCTGTGTGTGTGTGTGTATGTATGTATGTGTTTGTTTTTGTCTCTGTCTCTGTTTCTCTCTCTCGTGTGTGTGTGTGTGTATTCAGTGTGCATTCTTTAGGACATTCCTCAAGAGCCAGCAACTCATTCCTTCAACTACTGGGAATACTGGCTGCTAGCTGTTGAAACTCAAAGCTGATCCATCTCTGGGAATTACCCTCCACCAAAGGGAGCTGCCTCACTCCAAGATTACTTAATCCCTCCCCAGAACAAAGGCCAGGTCCCCTTGCCTGGCTATAAGACCACTCCAAAGGCCATCCCAGCCCCAGAGCACTCACAGGTGCAGCCTCTCCCTCTGCCCAATTTTGCCTTTCTTGCTCCCTCAAGAATGAAAAGCCTGATTGTGAATGAATCTCTGGAATGATCTCCCAAGCTCACAAAGCAAGTAAGCAGGGATTCACAAATCCAAATCTGTTTGACTCTTAGCCCTAGGTTTCTATCAACTTTATCAAGCCCTTGACTTTGACTTACAAAATACACATCCTCACATTTTAGCAAGACAGACAAAGTCCCTTCTTCTATGACTGTCCTTTCTAGCTTCACATCCCATCACCCACTTCCATACAACCCCTAGTCCAATCATATCAAACTCCTTTCTTTCCCTGGTCATGTTCATGCTCTCCTTCCCTGGAATAGCTCATTGTTCTTCTCTGTTTGATGAAAGCCTCCTTCTGCTACAAGTCTCACTTCAAGTGTTCCCTTTTCTGTGAAGAATTTTCTCATTCGCTGGGTAAAGTTAAGATCTCCAGCCTTCCAGTTCCATTTAGCATGGTAACTGTTAATTACTGTAATGAGCTCTTTGCAGGCAAGGACATGTCTTTTAACTCTGCTCCCCCAGCCAGGCATTTTAAAGATGTTTTGTTGAATGGATAAATAAATGAACTCAGGAGGGGTACTGGTCCTAGAGGCCCTGTCTGAATAAGAAGCATTATATAGTGCCATATGAATTTGGATAAATTGTGACTTTCTTGAGCACCAGGACTAGTTTTTTCTTCATCTTTGTAGCCTTTCCAACACCTATCATTGTAGTCTCCTGCCCATGGGAGAGGCTCAGAAAAACCTGCTGAACCAAATGAGGTCTCTGCAAAAAGAGCTCATGTACAAGAAAATTATTTCACTTTCTCAGCTCTGTCTAAATTATCTTTTTTAAACTCTACTATTCAAGATGCATAGGATATTTCTCTTCGTATCTCTTCTTAAATGATATGCTCCTTAGTTTCAATTTTTAACATTTCTCCTTTTTTTTTTCTATTTAATGGAGCATAAGGTGACTTAGAGCTTGCTAAATTCCCTTTATAGGTTAGAAATCAAATCTAACGTGGATACATCAAACATGACTAAGAAATTTTCCAGCTGGCCTGCTTAACACTATGTCTTTGTTTTAAGGAGGCTCTTTCAAACATAAATATGTCATTAATCTACAGGGTGGTTTTTCTCCTCTCTACTTTCTGAAACTAATAATTACTGAGTAGAGGTACAGGTATAGGTAGAGGCAACAACATTCCTAATACAAAGCTGAGGGGGTGGGGGAAAACTCTCATCTTACAAGCATAAAAAATAAACACTAGTTGTACTGGGCAAGTAGCTGCATTCTCTACACAGGAAATGGTTGCATTTTATTATTTGTGCTCAACAAAGATGTCCACACCACAAAAAAATTGCTGGGAGTTGGCTGACACTCGTAACAATGATAAGAAAACTTCAAAGCCCAGTTCTTGTTTTTTAATAGATTTGGGAAGGAGGAAGCTTGCTGGTGTGTAAGAGATGGAATTTTCTGTGCCCTGTGAAATTTTCTTCATGTCACTTTCTCGCAGCCTCTGCTGCTGGTCTGGTGAGACCAAGAGAGACTGTGCTAATGTCTTCTCAAGAGAGCAGCACATATATAATCTTGTTCTTCACAAGTTTCTCACCATGTTTGAGCCCCAAGCAAAGAACTCAAGGCATCTGGTCTGATTTTTCATGCGTACAGGCAGTCCGTTCCTGGGCAGAGGTGCAATTTGCAGGAACATCTTCTTTCAAAATTTTTGCTCACATTGTTTAGTTCACAGACTCACTGACTTATAACTCTGTAATTATGCCTTATGCCTTTTTATTGTGTCTTTAAAACATTAATTTCTCTAATTTTTAATCATTTATTCTGTGTCTCTAAAGAATTCATTCATGCACCTAATTTTTCAGATACCATTCTCAGTCCTGGTTATAGGCAAAGTAGTTACTGGAAAGCATGGCAGGATTTATGGAATGTACCTTTTTAAACATCCTGGTAGAATCCTCACTTATCTGCATGAACCGCATAATCACGTTGTTCAGATAGATGTCACTCAAGGTTGCATGGTCTTTGCTTTCTCTCCTTACTTGGTTCAGGAGCAAATACCAGCAGTTCACGGGAGACAACAGGTTCTGGTCTTTCCTAAGAAGTGAAGAAAAACAGAATTACCATCTATTTCAAAGCTGCCCCACTCAGATGAGTGGCAAGACACACAGAGGAGCCACAACGGATGGATATTGTTGCTGTGCTTCCTGCACTGAGCATTTCTCAGACCAGGACACTTGTTGGCCAGCAGAACAGCCTTCCAGCCTGTGGATGGCACAGAGCCAGCAATTGTCCAGGTTTGGAAGAAAACACGTGGGCCAAGAACACTGGTGAAAACCCATATTCCTGACAAGGACCACTCACATACACAGTGCTTATGCAGGCCCACAGCTTTAAACACTCCATTGAAGAAAGCGATTTATGTTTACATAAAAATGTATTGACTACTGTCTCAGACAGACTGTGGTTTTTGCCCGGCATACAAAGTCGGCTTTGAATGTTCAGTCTGTTGCTGGAAAAGAAATTTGGCTAGTTATGCGTTCCATGGAACATAAATTCGAGGGTTATTTATTAATCCCCTGATACATAACCTCCAGTCTCCCAAAAACTATTGCTGGGAATCTGAACTTTATTGCATTGTCTCAAGGCTCATGAAGAGAACCGTGAAGTTGCTGGCTTATGACCTGTCACATGTCCTGCTGAAACCCATTAAACTGTTTCAAATTCATAACTGCTCCTTGTTTTATTCTAGATAATAAAGCTAAAAGTTAATATAAACTGCATAAAAAACTTTTAAAAAGTCTTAAAGAATAACTCAACAAAAACAGTGAGCAACTGAAATGATACTGCTTAAGAAAAAGCACACTTAAAACAATTTTTGCAGCCAGGCATGGTGGCTCACGCCTGTAATCCTAGCACTTTGTGAAGCCGAGGTGGGTGGATTGCCTGAGATCAGGAATTGGAGACCAGCCTGGGCAACATGGTGAAACCCCTCTCTACTAAAAATACAAAAATTAGTTGGGTGTGGTAGTGGGCACCTGTAATCCTAGCTACTTGAGAGGCTGAGGTACAAGAATTGTTTGAACCTGGGAGGTGGAGGTTGCCATGAGCCAATATGATGCCATTGCACTCGAGCCTGGGTGATAGGGCAAGATTGTCTCAAAAAAAAAATTTTTTTTGCGTGTTTGTTCTTTAAAAACTGACTGTAAAATGGCAACATGGCAGAGAGACCCTATCCTAATGCAGGAACAAAAGCTCCCTTTAATCAGACATGTTATCCTCCTACTATTCATGATCATTTATGACTGAATAATAATTAAGTTAGGAAAGAAATGATGAAGTCGGGTCTTTCTGCTATTACATCTCTCAGATTCAGGATTTAATACTGCATTAAGTCAGTGCCCTCTCTAGAAGAAAATGAAAGCAGAAGATGGAAGCAGGAATGGGCATGGGAATAAAGGCCTGATTTAGGCTCCTAACACTTGGCACCTGTGAGGGCAGCTTCCCATTCTCCCTACTGGCACACTGAAGAATTATATCCTTCACCTGCTACCTTGTTTTTCTTAATACCACCAGGTAAAGAGCAGTGGTTCTATTGTAGGTAACTGGGGCTTCTCTGCTGACAGTTTCTGTCTACCCAGCCCCATATAGTAAGGTAAATGTTGCCTTATTTCTATGAACCTTCACGTAGACCTTCTTTGCTGAAGTAACCCACAAATTCTTTCAGAACATTTCATGCTTCATCATATCCTCAGGGCCTTGCCCCATAGTAAGCATTAAATAAGTGTTATTTCACTTATTGCATGAATAATTGTTATTGCTTTAGTAATAACAGTAGTAGCAGTGATATCAAAAATAATGACAGTTATCATTTACTGAGCACTTACTGTGAAAAGTAATATCTATGTCAAGATCATGGCCTCTGGAGCTGCACTGTCTAGGTTCACATATAGAACTACCCCTCACTAGCTTTGTGACCTTGGGCAAATGATCTTAACTGCTCTGTGCCTCAGTTACTTTGTAGAATGGGTAAAATAACCGTGCTTTCATAAGAACAATCTTATGATTGTTCATGAGAATCACTGGAGTTAATATATTTTAAAATACTTATAACAATGCCATGTATATATAATAAGCGCTACACAGAGTTAGCTCTTTTTCCAGGGGCCTAATATAAAGACTTCACAGACATCAACTCTACTTAATCCTTATTACTACCATTTGAGGCAGAGATTCTTTGTATCTTGCTTTTTTTTTTTTTTTTTTAAAGACGGAGTTTTGCTCTTGTTGCCCAGGTTAGACTGCAACAGCATGATCTCGACTCTCTGCAACCTCCTCCTCCTGGGTTCAAGTGATTCTCCTGACTCTGCCTCCCAAGTAGTTGGGATTACAGGCACCCACTACCCACACCTGGCTAATTTTTGTATTTTTAATAGAGACAGGGTTTCACCATGTTGGTCAGGCTGGTCTCGAACTCCTAATCTCAGGTTATCCACCGGCCTCAGCCTCCCAAAGTGCTGGGGTTACAGGAGTGAGCCGCCGCACTTGGCCCTTTGTATCTTTTCCATCAATGAATGAATGGAAGCTTAGCAAGGCATACTGACTTGAGAAAGACCAAACCTAGTGTCTGAGAGGGTCTCTCTTGCTTTTTTTTTTTAAGATGGAGTCTCTCTCTATTGCCCAGGCTGGAGTGCAGTGGCACAATCTCAGCTCACTGCAACCTCCGCCTCCTGGGCTCAAGCGGTTCTCCTGCATCAGGCTCCTGAGCAGCTGGACTGCAGGTGAGCTGCACGCCCAGCTAAATTTGTATTTTTAGTAGAGACAGGGTTTCACCATATTGGCAGGCTGGTCTTGAACTCCTGACTTAAGGTTAGCCACCTGCCTCAACCTCCCAAAGTGCTAGGATTACAGGCGTGAGCCACCATACCCGGCAGAGAGAGTCTTTTCTGAGTCTATGGAGGCTGAACCAAGCCTTGCTCTATGGAGTGGCATCTTTGGCCAAAGATTGTTCTATACAATAAGTGTCCCCAAACTGAATAAGAATGAGATTCCAGAGAATAGCTTAATTAATTGGTAATGTTATCATGCTAACGATGCAACATTTGTTTGGTTAAAAGGGGAAGGAATATGCAGTGCATATCCTGGCCAATTTATCAATCATATCAAGGACTTCACGTTTCTCACTTAAGGGTCACAAGACCTCGTTAGGTTAGGACACCAAGGATTAGAGAGGTTAAGTAACTTAACCAAAGTCACAAAGTGGAGCCAATACTCAAACGCAAATCTGGTTGACTATTTTTTTCCCAATCCTGTTTTATCCTTTTCACAGACATATTCATCTTATCTTCAGTCCCATATTTAATAATAAACTTACTCAAGTTAAAGAAAATTTCAAACTGCTTACCTATTAAAGAAAACTACCAAATAAACCAGGAGAAAGAAAAATGCATTCATTCACCATGGGGCCAGATAAGGTACATAAACCCATCCATATTCCTCCCTTCACAGCCACTAATTACCAAGTGCAAAACACAGAAGATACTCAAAAATAATTACTGGATGGGTTGAACGCAGTGGCTCACGCCTGTAATCCCAGTACTTTGGGAGGCTAAGGCAGGTGGATCACATGAGGTCAGGCGTTCTAGACCAGCCTGGCCAACATGACAAAACTCTCTCTACTAAAAATACAAAAATTAGCCAGGCATGGTGGTGTGCACCTGTTATCTCAGCTATTCAGGAGGCTGAGGCCTAAAAATTGCTTGAACCTGGGAGGAGGAGGTTGCAGTGAGCCGAGATCGCACCACTGCACTCCAGCCTGGGTGACAAAGCAAGACTCCATCTCAAAAAAAAAAAAAAAAAAAATTACTGAATAGATGAATGGGCTGTCTTCTTAATTGCAACTGCTTTTAAAAATAAACAGTTACATTACTATAAATGTGTACTGGCTCAAGCCTCTACTTCCCAGCCCTCCTCTCTGTCAAGTACATTTAACATTCATTCACCCTGGGGATCAACATTAAGATTAATTTTTATGCTGGACCAACAGTAAAGGTTAAAGTTGAGAGATGGGGGGAAGAGAGGGGAAGAGAGAGTGAGGGAGAGGAAGAAAAAAGAGAGGAGAGAGAGAAAAAGAAACAGAGAAGACAAGAAAAAACAAACACTTGTGTTTGCTTCTGCACAAGTGTCCCAAGTGATAGTTCCCATCCTATTTTTTCATGCAGGGTCCAAGGTCGTGGAGAGGCAGGAGATGAATAGAATTACAAAGCCAATGGTGAAAGAAAGGCATGCTTCTCCGCAACTTCCAAACAGCAGCCCAGGCTGAACAGCAAGGTCTCCTTGTGCCCTGTGCAGGTGAGTAGAGGGTTTTCTGTTTTACCATTTCACTCTTCTGGTTCTGGGATGCAGTGCAATGGGGCTGGTCGGGAGGAAACCCTCAGTTCCAAACCTTTACTTGGCACAGACTTCATCTTCTCTCCCCATGTGAAATTAAAGGGTGGAAACAACCGCCACATAGGTTTTCAGTTCCCTTTTCTTTTTTTGGCCCCTGGAAATTTCCCTCACTTTCCTGTGAGTTTTATATTTAAAATGATGTTCATTATATATTAACCAGGATTTCTGAGAGTTTTCAGACAGACATGTTTTTCAGATTATCTGGCCGGCTGTATTTACAGAAATGCAAGACTGCATTGTCTTTTTACTGTCTCCCGAACAGGTCAACTTCTCTCTACCTGCAGTGTTGTTTCTCATGCCCCTGGAAAAGGTCCCAACTGGCCAGGAAGATTCACAGGCCCCCGGGACCTGCTTTGATTGACACCTGCAGCCATGTAGCTCATCGCCTCCCTGGTCACTCCCATGGGACTCTATCTGTTCCGCAAATCTGCTGTACATCCCTTCCCTGCTGGCCCCTTGCCCATGATGTTTCTCTTGCCTGGAATAGCCTCTTCTTCTCTCCTTTACTGGCCAACTTGTCCTTCAGGTCTTTGCTTCAATGCTTCTTCTTTCAGCACCTTACCTTCCCCACCTCCAACACAGAACAGATATCAGTTGGGTCTGTCCAGGGTCCCCCATGCCTTCCCCTGTTGGAACACTTGCTTACTTCAATGGAGTTGTCTGCTTACTTGTCTCTCTCTGTCCTGAAAAAAATTTTTTTTTTTTTTGAGATGGAGTCTCACTCCATCACCCAGGCTGGAGTGCAGTATTGCAGTCTCAGCTTACTGCAACCTCCATTGCCTGGGTTCAAGCTATTCTCCTGCCTCAGCCTCCCAAGTAGCTGGGATTACAGGTGTATGCCACCTTGCCTGGCTAATTTTGGCATTTTTAGTAGAGACGAGGTTTCACCATATTGGTCATTCTGGTCTTGAACTCCTGATCTCAGGTGATCCACCAGCATCGGCCTCTCAAAGTGCTGGGATTACACGTGTGAGCCATCCCACCTGGCCCTATCCCCAGGATTTAAATCATAAAGTAAATTTCATTAGCAGAACATCTTATGTGTATTTTTTAAAGCAAATAAATTATAATTAAACAATTTATGCTTGTTCATAGCATTTTCCTTAAAACTTTTGTTTTAAATCAGTATCAAATATAATGAACATAAACACAATGGGCCGGCGGGGGCACTAAACTCAAGCAACTCTTACTGCTTATTTTCATATACATTCACTAGAGAAAATGAGAGGTCTTTGCCTGAACACAAAGCTATTTTAAATCTGTCCTACCTATAGCTGATATAAACTCTCAGGTTTCCATAATCAAGAATTTTTGATTATGGAAAGACATACCTTCTCTTCTGGCATATGAAGTTATCTATAAATAGATATGTACTGGAAATACAAAAATGTCAAGAGATTATACTAGTTTACAATGATAAATTGATGCTCATAAATTACAAATGTAGAGGATGGATAGCGCCTTGGAAATGTGAATTAGAGTCAAGTCTCTCTTACTTGTATTGTTGATGATCCTTAGTGCTTCTTGTTTTTGCCATGAACCTTTCTGCTAACTTCTCTAGATTCCGGGAATATTCCGTCTCAATTTCAGCTTTTTTACGGAAGAAATCTTGCAGGTCCTGAAGAAGCTGAACTCGCATCTCTGTTTGCTGCTCCAGGCATTTTTGTTGTTCTACCAGTTGAGCTCGAATTTCTAAGGAGAGAAGAGAATGGTTTAATGAAAATTAATGAGGTGTGCTGGTATGTGCAAGATATAAGTCACGAATCCATATGTATATGTATATGTGTATATATATATATATATATATATATATATATATATATTTTGAGATGGAGTCTCGCTCTGTTGCCCAGGCTAGAGTGTAGTGGCGTGATCTCGGTTCACTGTAACCTCTGCCTCCCAGGTTCAAGTGATTCTCCTGCCTCCCCCTCCTGATTAGCTGAGACTACAGGCATGCAGCACCAGGTGATCCACCTGCCTTGGCCTCCCAAAGTGCTGGGATTACAGGTGTGAGCCACCATGTCTGGCCATGAATCCTATTACATATTTACCTCTGTATTGGACCTTTGTTAGAATACTGTGTCCATGTTGATTCTTTAAATAAGTTATTTGCTGACCCTTTAAAAGAACAAGAGGCGCCTCAGGAAAGAATGTAATAAATTAAATATGTGGGTTATATTTGTAATGCCATAAACACACAAAGATCCATGAAGGGAAAGAATTAAAGCCTTTCAGATAACAATTAATAACATCTTTGGGTAGCTGGGAACATTATAATTTTTTTCAATAGCACTTTACCTGAATTATCCCTTTTGAGTATGAATAGCAAAGAAATAGGCATCATTTCTTCCAGGCTCTGAACCACTACACATTTGCCATGTGGCACATATAGACACTGACATCTGGTAATTTTTATATAGTGCATAATTTCTAGTTTGTAACACACACAGCTTCAGGGCAAATAGGGATGCCGTGCCTAAAAATAATTTCTTTCCATAGCCAAATAATCCATTCATAACAGTGCAGTCCTCAGATTCCACTTTATTATTACGTTAACAACAAAAAGACCTCTTCAGCTGGCCTTCACCTTTTACACATTGTTCAAAATAACACCCTTATTGACATATATAATCCTCAAAGAATCCTCTGATAATTTTAATACATTAGGAACATGAAGGGTGGTCATTTAGTGATTTAGCAAAATCTCAAAAGCAAAACTGTGGCATGCAAAAATATCTGTAAATGACTGTAACAAAGAAACATGTGTTTTGGAAAAGGAGATACAGTAACTAATAACCACAAACTTGTTTTTGTTCTAAGACCTAAGGCTAAGCTCCAAAGACAAGAACATCATGCTGGAAAACCTCTTTATTTCATCTTCTCCAATGTCAGTGCATTTCTCTAAAAGTGAAGGTTGACTCTAATTCAGTGGAGTTAGTAGAAATCAATGCCCAAATATTGTCTCTTTAAATTTCTCAATGTATTTCTTAGATAGAGAAGGCCACATATATATACATAAACTTAACTATGTTTAATCAAGTTCATTAACAGCAAGTTAACAACATGTTCATTAACAAGGTGGTCAAGTTCTGAATGAGGAGTCAGGAAATATGCTTAATTTAAAATTAACTAATAATAAGAACTCAGTGTTTGCTAGTCTATGTCCTAACGAAATAAGTTTTAGTATTATCCTCCATTTTACAAAGAATAATTTAAGTTTCAGCAGTATAAATACTTTATCTATGGATTTCAGCCAGTAAGTGGTACCCCTGGAGACTTTTGACCCTGACCTATCAGTCTGACTAATCAAACACTTCCCATCCTGTATCCACCAAACCTTTTTTTTGGGCACCTATACTGTGCCAAGCTTGCATCCTGGCAAAGAAGAAACAATAACTAATGAAACAAGATCTCTGCCCTCAATAAGGTCAGCCTCCAGGCAGTGCTGTTTCTAGGGAGTCCTGGGGGGAAGACAGGGAAGAATTTCTCAAGTGTCCTTGCTTGCTTTCTCCACCTCTACATTGGAGGATCTTATTGTAACTTCATGAATGTGAGTTGAACATACTATTACAGGCTTTTAACCACTATGAACAGCATCTAGTTTTTAGTCAATCAAAGTAAGTGTTTTCCAATACGGTATTATAATCAGCATGTTTGCCAAACTTTGTCTTTCAAAAATACAGAGCTCTTTTTGTGTCATGAAGAAAAAGAATGTATAAGGGTGGGGGTGTTTCTCATTCAGGGATCCTTGCAAGTCTTTTAAGATGAAGTAATTTTAGCACATCTTGCTGCACTAAGAGAAAATAAATCAATCATCTTAGGCTGTCAACTAGTTTTTTCTGTTTTTTTTTTTTTTTCTTTTTTAAGCTGACTTAGTGCCAAACAAGAAATAAAATAACAAATCTCAAATATCATCAGAAATACACAAAAATCATGTGGGTTTTTTCTTGGTTCTCATTTTTAAATGTTCTCTTGCTTACTTCTATAAGGATTTAGAATCAAGAACTAGGGAATCATGAGAATGACTGATTTAACAATTAAATCCTCATCTTCATTTTAGAAAAAGTAACTGTTACTTTGTGTCATCTGTAATTGTCAAAGGGCTAGGCACAATGGCTCATGCCTGTAATCTCAATACTTTGGGAGGCCAAGGCAGGAGGACTGCTTGAGCTCAAAAGTTTGAAATCAGCCTGGGCAAGACAGGAAGACCCCATCTCCACTAAAAAAAAAAAAAATTTAGAATTTAACTGGTTGTGGTGGTGCACGCCTGTGATCCCAGCTACTCAGGAGGCTGAGGTGCAAGGATTGCTTGAGCCCTAGAGCTTGAGGCTGAGGTGGAGCTGTGATCACACCACTGCACTCCAGCCTAGTGACACAGTGACACCCTGTCTCAAACAACATAGAACAAATAAAAAAAGCCTATGGTGCACTGGGCCCCACACTATGTGAATTGTGCCATGGGGCCACAGGCAGCTGCAGCTAGAGGCACCACTGTCATCATGGGAATTACAGAACATTAAAGCTGGAACTCGTGAAAGGGTAAGGGCAAGGGGTGATTTTGAGAAAAACGGTGAACCTTATTTCTGCATAAGACATTGTAGCTTCCTTTCTAACCCCAGATTCTTTGACAGTCTATTAAGGCTCCCTCCCATTTCTAGAAGCTTTTTTAGATTAGCATTGACCTGAATCATTATTTTCAGACTCAAGGTTCATTTAGTTTAGCTGAACAAGCAATGATTGAGTTACCATTTTGTGTTAGGCAGTGTCCTAGGCACAGGAGATACAAAGGTTCGTAAGACACAGGTCCTTCCGGTTAGGAAGACAAATCCTAAACCGATCTGTTCACTGCCATAACAAAGAAGTGCAACAGGAAGCTATGGCAAGAGGGGCAGGAACTGACTCGGATAGGAAGAGTGGGGAAAACATAATGCCTTGAAGGATAAGTAGGTTACAAGACAGGCAGCAGTAACCACTAAGAAAGTAAAAAGGGAGAAAGTATTCACACAGCATATATCTGATAAGGAACTTGTATATGGAATACACAAAGAACTCTTACAGCTCAATAATAAAAGCTAAATCTCAGTTTTAAAAATGGGCAAAGGATCTCAACACACATTTCTCCCAAGATGATATACAAATGGCCAGTAGCATATGAAAAGTCGCTCAATATCATTAGCTTGCAGGGAGACGCAAATCAAAAGCACAATGAGGTGCCACTTCAAACTTATTGGGATGGCTATAACCTAAAAGATTAAAAAAAGGTGTTGGAAGAGAATGTGGAGAAACTGGAACCCTCATACATTGCTGGTGGGAATGTAAACTGATGCAGTCCCTTTGGAAAATAGTCTGGCAGTTCTTCAAAAGATTACACTTAAGAGTTACCACATGACTCAGCCATTCCACTCCTAGGTATACATTCCAGTGAAATGAAAATCTATTTTCATACAAAAATCTGCACATGAATGTATGCAATAGCAGCACTGCTCATAATAACTGAAAGGCGAAAACAGCTCAAATGTGTATCAACTAATAAAGAGATAAACAAAATGTGATACAGTCATACAACAGAATACTGTTTAGCCATAAAAAGGAATGAAGTACTTATCTACAACATGCATGAACCTTGAAAATATAACTTTAATGAGTGGAAGCCACTCATAAGAAACCACAATCTATAATTTCATTCATATGGAAGGTCCAGAATAGATTATAGACTCAGAAAGTAGATGAGGAGTTGCCTAGAATTGGGAGGATTGGGGAAAAATGGCTGCTAATGGATGCAAAGTTTCTTTATAGGGTAATAAAATGATCGAACACTGATTGTGGCTCTGGTTACAAAACCTGTGACTATGCCAAAAACCACTGAATTGTACTCTAGAAATGGTAAAATCATGATAGGTGAAATATATCTCAAAACAGCTGTTACATACATAAAAAGATAGCTATATCACAATTCCGTAAAATTTTGGTTGTTGATACATTTCTGATAATGATGATAATAGTAATAACAAATTCATATTTCTACACCCAGTACTTTCTGGTACTTTTTGTCAAATGTCCAACTATGGGCAAGTACTTTAAAAAGATTTCAAGAGGCCAAAGGCACTTAATGATATAGAAAAGATTTACCTAATAGAATATTAGGAAAGGCTTTTCACCATGAATTCCCCATAACTGTATAAAACAGCACAACCCCTTTTAGGCAGAAAAATGTGATCTCTGAGGAGGCTGTAAGCAGTCATTACTTAAATCTAGGTCAGGACCTGCTAAATAATCATAATGGCTGTTTTAATGGAGGCTAAAATTTACTGTTTTTTAAAATGACTATTATTTCATTCTGTTCTACCACAGAATCACTACAGAATGAATCAATACCAATAATCCAACAAGAACAATGCACAAAATGAGTATGCTTTTCAAACTGCTGCAATTAATTTGTTAAAAAAAGGAAAAAAAATTGAAACAGTTCCTCTAAGCTATAAAAATCTGCTGACTAATACTTACCAAATAAAGTGGAATTACCTAGAAACAGAGGAAATGAAGGAATGTCTTGCTATTGCTCTCATAAAGGGAAGCTCTAACTCTTAAAATAAATTTGTGTGAAGCCACAAAGTGATACATATTTCACGGAAAGATTGATCCATACTGGGCTATTTCTCTAATAAATTACTGAATGACGACTAGGACATAAA